GGGGAGAGCAGTAGAAGTTGTCCACCTTGACTTCAGCAAGGCTTTTGACACTGTCTCCCATAACATCCTCATAGGTAAGCTTAGGAAGTGCGGGTTAGACGAGTAGACACCAAGGTGGATTGAGAACTGGCTGAATGGCAGAGCTCTGAGTGTTGTGATCAGTGGTGCAGAGCGTAGTTGGAGGCTTGTAACTAGCACTGTTCCCCAGGGGTCAGTACTGAGTCTAGGCTTGTTCAACATATTAATCAATGACCTGGATGAGGGGACAGAGTGTATCCCCTCTCCAAGTTTGCTGATGATGCAAAACTGGGAGGAGTGGCTGACACACCAGAAGGCTGTGCTACCATCAGCGAGACGTGGACACACTAGACAGTTGCACCAAGAGGAACCTAATCAAGTTCAACAAGGGCAAGCATAGGGTCCTGCACCTGGGGAGGAATAACCCCATGCGCCAGTACAGGTTAGGGGCTGACCTGCTGGAAAGCAGCTCTGCAGAAAGGGACCTGGAAGTCCTGGCGGACAAGTCAACCATGAACCAGTAATGTGCCCTTGTGGCCAAGAGGGCCAATGGTATCCTGGGGTGCATTAAGAAGAGTGGGTTGAGCGGGGTTATCCTCCCCCTCTACTCTCCCCTGCTGAGGCCACATCTGCAGTACTGTGTTCAGTTCTGGGCTCCCCAGTTCAAGAAAGACAAGGAACTACTGGAGAGAGTCCAGCAGAGGGCTACAAAGATGATCAAGGGACTGGAGCATCTTTCTTACGAGGAAAGGCTGAGAGACCTGGGTCTGTTTAGCCTGGAGAAGAGAAGACTGAGAGTGGATCTCATCAATGCTTATAAATATCTAAAGGGCGATTGCCAAGAGGGTGGGGCCAGACTCTTTTTCAGCGGTGCCTGGCGACAGGACAAGAGACAATAGGCACACACTGGAACACAGGAAATTCCATCTGAACATGAGGAAAAGCTTCTTTACTTTGAGGGTGGCAGAGCACCGGAACAGGCTGACCAGAGAGGTTGTAGAGTCTCCAACTCTGGAGATATTCAAAACCCACCTGGACACGATTCTGTCCAACCTGCTCTAGGTGAACCTGATTTGGCGGGGGGTTGGACTAGAAGTTCTCCAGAGGTCCCTTCCAACCCCTACTATTCTGTGATTTGCCTACCAGGTTTTACGAATGCATACAGCAATACGAAATGCCAAACACATGTACACAAAATAGGATAAAGGCATGTATATGCTGCAACCCTCTGTCTATTCTCGCCTTTCTTCTCTAGGGATTCAGATGTCTTCATTCCAAGGATCCAATACCAAATTCTGACATGGCAACTCTCCTAAATCTTTCTACAGACATCTAAGGAAATTGGTAAGCTGTAAGAAAGACCTGAGAATATCTGAAAATTAGAGACACCCAAGACAATAAAGATAAAATAAGAGACAGTGGTAGGATTCTCAAGATGGTGATTACTAGGAGCTCAAGGATTCAAGAGAAAACACACTGATATGGAAATGCATAAAATCTGACAAGGAAAAAAAATAGAATTCTACAGTCAGCCTGTAAAGTCAAGGATCCATTCCAACCTTTCCTCTGCTCACTGATGCCTACCTGCCTAGCAAAGACTGAGGTCTCTTACTGGGATGGTGAATATACTAATGCTTAACTAGGACTCAACAAGCTACCAGACTACCTTGCATGTGAGTTATCCAACAACAAATTTCATTACACTTCTAAGTTGTGTATATCCTGCTTGCAGAATCTGAACAAAGTAACCCAAAAAGAAGGAGTAACACAAAAATCTTTTACAAGACTAAGTTCCTCCATTTATTTCTCTTTAACTTTCTGCTTGAGAGGCATTATCGTGCAGAACACCAGTGTGACTGAAGTAGTGTGCCTCTCCAAGGAGATGGCACAAGAAAAATAGCAATGAAGAGATGTTCTCCTTAAGAGTACATAGTGTGAGCGTCCTAATACATGTTCTAAATAAACGCATTAGGCAAAATTTTCAAGTTAAGGCATTTCATCTCTTTTTAATTAGATGTGTGATCTTAGTAAGCTTTGCTTAATAAAAATAATATTTACAAGGGAGGTCTTTCAAAGCTCAGCCCTCCAAATCCCTCTCTGTGATGCAGTTTCTCCTTCATTGTCCTTGATTTGTACAACAAATTTGGAAGGAGATTTAAATATTTTATTACTCATTCTAGTTTTTTTCTTTATACAGCTTGTATTTATTGAACAACTACTACAACAGCACATCCCCAAGCAGAAAGGTAGTGTTTGCTATGCAAAACACACAGTCCATGATTGGCATCTAAGACCAATTGATCTACCCATTACCACTATCTCCCTACCCCCACAAGCTTTACTACAAAGCTATTGATTTAAACACTGCCGATCGGTTTCCATTTTCTGATTTTGGGCAGGCCAATTAAGAAAGTGAGTAATTGTGATTACACTGCTTCAGGATCAATTACATTTGATGCAAGACAAAGTGCTCCTCTTAGAACAACGTAAAGAAAATGATTATGATCAGGAACACTTTACTGCTGAACATGCTTCTAACAAAAATGCAAAACAACTGACAATGTCTTTCATAAAGATATGTTACCAGGAAATATAAGAATATCGACACGTTTGTGTGCACAGTATTTCAACTACATTTTGACAAACTTCTACAAGTCATTCTTCCTTTTGGATAAAAGCTTTTTAAGAAGTATGACAAGGTAAAAAGGCTGCAGCTGAGTTCTCTGAAACATCACCCCCGAAACATCCCACCGCACAATTTCTTCAGTGATATTGAACATCAGTAGGATTTTGAACAATACATGTTTTAACAGCAAAATAGCAAATTTAATGCAAAGAACATTTTACCTATTTTTATACCATTTTCTAAGAATGAGTGTCAAAGAGACAAGGCCTTATCAATCAGCAAAGGAACAAAGTAAGCAATTCCTATTCTTAATTTAATTTTAAACTTAGCTTGAGCTTTGTCATTGGACTCACATTGTCCAAATCATTAAAATGAATACACCGCTGAGGTCTGAGGCAAATCTATTTACAGTGATGTTACTCATAGTCTGGTTGGTGTTCAGGAATATTGATCTGTCTTGTTTGTCTAATAGGAAAATAATAAACAATTACTAGGCAATGTTGGAGAAAGTAATCAGTTTTTATATATCACTAATACAGCAGACCTCCCAAAACATAAAGGTGATGATCTGCATAAAATCAATGTGTTATGCTACATTGCTTATCCTCATCACTGCTAAGATTCTTAGCAATAAATGATATAAGTTTAGAATTAAATCATTAGCATACTGAAAATATGTACTTGAAAGAAAAATATCCTCTCTATTTAAAAAAGAATGTTCTTATTTTATAAACTGAGCATATTTTATTTAAAAAAACCCAAAATATGTTTAGGGACAGAGAACCTTTCATTTTGAAGAAATTAAAAAATTGCATTGCCTAGAAGGGAACCTCGCCTCCCAAACAAACACAGCATCAAGCAACAGTTCAAAGCTGTTTCCAAATTTCAGCAAACAGAATACGGACCAGCATGATGTGCGTGAACTACATGCTGCAGACATCTTGCTGGAGGTACTAATATCTTCAAAATGACTACACATGAGCATCCATTGTACAGGAAAAGGTTTAAGGAGGGAGGGGGGAGGGAGAATCAATATTAAAACCTCCTTGCCCCTAGAACAAGAAATTTTATTTTAACAGTGGTTCTTTTGGAGTCACTTGGGTACATCTCTGTCTTTAATAACCTGTAAGTTGTGCAATCTGTGCTTGGTACTAGTACACTAAAATGTCTACAAGATTCAAGAAAGGGGTACAGAGCTTTCTCAAAGGGCTTCCCCTAAACTGTTATGCATCAACGTGAAAGTCTATTCAGTATCCTTTTTTGTGCAGAATATAGAAAGTGGTGCTTCTTGCAACAAAATAGGTAAAAAAATCATTATTTCAAAATACGGTAAAAAAAAAAAAGCATTGTGCAGATCTATTTTGTGCCTTTGCATAGTTTCAAAGACTATACAAGCCTAAATAGCTCTTAAAAGAAAGTGTCTAGCTTTCCCCCATTTGCTCATTCCTAACGTTTGGACACTGCTACTCTAAGTTTTCCCTGATTTCAAATGCCAGTTAATAACAGAGTTCTCACTGGGTTAACAGGTTCCCTGCTAGCCTAGAATGCAACAGGAACTCATACAAAAGAGGATCTTGAATGTGCCAATAATGAGCATAAAAAGCGTAAATCAAGTATATAAGACAAAATCTAGCTGGCCAGCCAGTTACTTGTTTTCATTCTCCTTCTAATCATTTAAAAGAATCTACAGCATAAAGAATAAGCTTCTTTGGTCAGCAAATTTTGGGGTTGGTTTCACGCAGTCATGTTACATAGATCACAAACACCCACCATAAGCACTCAAGGTACTAAAATTGCTCACACTATGTGCTTTTTTGATTTGCGATTTCTTACAAGGAAGAACACACACAAAACACTCCAGCAGACTAGTCAGACCTGACTGCTCCCTTCACGGTGGTGTTATTAAGAAGAATCCCAAGAATACAGAGGGAAAATAAAAATAAAGCTCAGGAACAGAGAAGTAATTCTAAATTGGAAGACAAGTTCATGCTTCTACTTGGTATCATTTACACCAAGGGAAATACAGAACCTCCAAAACACAACCTGTCAAAGAGTTTTTGAACTTATACATGTGATTTCAAACCTAGATTTGAGCTTACCATGAAATTTTTGGTTTCAGAAGCAAGTGCTAAAAAATTTGGAAGAGCGAAACTGAATCATTGTCACAGTAAAACGAAACACTAATTATGTCTTATTTCTCCAAAAACATCTTGAGTATACATCATGTTGTGAACTGTTGTTCAATTCTTTAAATATTTAATAAGCAGCAAGTCTGCTACTGCCAAGTAAACTTGCAGTATACCCTACTTCTGCCTTCCAAGAGCAAAAAAATTACCCTCCGTCCCCAAGAACTCACCATAACTGGAAACTGGCTGTCTGAGTAGAATCACAGAAGTCAATACCCATTGAAACGGTAATGGATCCTGCAGGCTCCAGGCATTCTACGTGAAAAAATTTTGAGCAGGTAAAATATTCACGCAAAGCAACAGAAGACCCCAGATGTAAACCCCCAAACCTCACATAATTAGAAAACCTATATTAAAAAAAAACTCCATCAAAAAGGGCCAATACTTGCAGTTTAATTTCAAGTAGGCATCAACCAAATGTCACACTTGCATGTTTAAGTGTCTTGGATTCCCCTTCCCCACAGCTGGTGTGGTTGGGTTCTGCCTGAGACCTTGTACGCCATGGATTGGAGCCTGAACTATCAATGCTCAGCAATGTGGCAGAGCTGAACGTGTGTGTGGCAGCCTTTGGCAGCAGATTCAAAAATCCTTGATCACCTCCTGGCATCCAAGAAGAGAAGACAAGAGGAAATGGCCTCAAGTTACGCCAGGGAAATTTTAGATTGGATATAAAGAAAAATTTCTTCACCAAAAGGGTTATCAAACACTGAAAAAGGCTGCCCAGGGATGTGATGGAGTCGCCATCCCTGGAGGTATTTGAAACACGTGTAGGCGTGGTGCCGAGGGACATGGTTTAGCGGTGGATGTGGCGGTGTTAGGTTGATGGTTGGACTCAATGATCTTAAAGGTCCCTTCCAACCTAGATTGTTCTATGATTCTATGAAATGTTGCCATTTCAATCTTACAACCCTACCATCAACAAAATAAGGACTTTTATAACAAAAGCTAGGAAAATTATTTATAGAAAAAAATACATTGAAGTTAAATCCTTTTACTTGTGTACAGATCCAGCACTGAGATTTCATTTTCAGTAACACCAGTTTGCAAATTTAGTTAATAAATAGTAAAACACAACAAATATTAATAAAATTTAAACGACTACACACAGTAATGGAAAAAGTGCTGAACTTAAAATATTGCATAATTAGTGTGGTTTACTTATTTCTCAATATTCCACCTGCATTAGTTATGGAAGGGAGCAGAAAGATTATTAACCCAAATGAAAGACAATTTTATGCTTTACATAAGTGCAGACTGAGGCATTTCTAAAATCAAGGTATCAAGAGACATGGTCATTCTTAGTTTCTTGCCTATATCACTATACTGCTTCTTCCATGTTGTAGAGATAGGGCTTTGTTTTGGAAGGCAGAAAAGCTCTTTTTTTACATAAGAAGGAGATACTAAAAACAAGCATTGGAACAGAGTTTGACTTCTCAAGATTACAAGAAAGAAAACCTAAAAGCACAGTTAAAAGGCAGGGATTAAAAAATGATTGTGCAGGCAGAAAAATGTCTAATTTCCAGTTTATTCATTAATGTATCTGATGCTTTTCAGGAAGTGAAGCGTAGACAGCTGTTCCATGATAAAAGCAAACAAAATTTAACTATATCAAGATTTAGTTTGGATAGAGATAGAAAACACGGAGGTGATGCAATTAGGCAAAGACTAAACTAATACTAGGGAATGAATAGAAAACAAAGTGTTTCAAGAAAAGAAGTCTGTGTAAAGCATCAAAAGATTACAGAATCCAGCTCAAATTCAGACTAAACTTTACAAAAGTCTTTGAGCTTAATGTTTTCAAATGGGGTTTCAAATGCACCTAGCCAACAAGGAAATACTGCGCACAGGGACTTAGGTGAAATAATTTGGCCCACTTCTACTGGCAAATTCAGGACAATGTTTTTTACATGACAGAAGTGAATGCTACTGTTCACTGACTACTATTGTGAGTACAGTATCACCTAGGATATAGTAATCCTATAGGATTACTAGTTTTCCTCTGGTAAGTTTTTGTGATTTTATTACCTTTGATGTTTAAAGGAAATGATATAAAATTAGGGTGATGGTCAAAACTAACTTGAAATTGGAACTCTGTGCTGGACTTCTTATCTTGAGGAATAAATACTAGACAGTTCACTAAACACAAAATTTAATGTATTTCCTAAAAGTAACTGCCTTGATCAAGTATGTATCATTATCAAAATGCAAATGTTTCCAAAATTTTAACTTTGAAATAAACTGTAGCATTGTACAATTGCTTTTGTAGCTATTTGGTTTAAATCTGTATAGCTTTTCAAATGTTAAAAAAATGAGTATTTCAATGGCATAGAGCAATTTAATACCAAACACCTTTTAAATACTGAAATCTTTACTTCACTTTTGTGCTTTCAGAACTTGTTTCTGTATTCTTCTAACATGATATGGATTCACATAGTAATGTAGCTCATTAAAAGAGAAGAAATGCATCTAAAGTACAGGAGCTTGTGTCAAAAAGGAGCGTGCCTGTCCTTTCCATTTCTGTTATGAAATAGAGACATTTTTGTTCCTTCAGATTATAACACAATGTCCAAAACGAAAGATCTGCTGAGAAAAGAAAGCAAGTTGTATGCACAGGTACTACCTTTGAATAAAAGTTGCTATGATCTGTGTTCTTCTTTCTCAGGTTTCCTACTCTTCCTAACTAACAGAAATTTAGATAAAAAAACCCAACTCAGTGAGAAGGTAGAGAGTAAAACAATTTAGTTTAGGATTGACTACAGCATTGCTTTCTACCTAGTCTAAGTAGCCACACTTTGTGGAAGTATGGTAGATGCAAACTGGACTAGAACGGACACTTCCACTCCCCTGTCAAAAGCTCACACAGGAAATGAGAAAGCTCTGAGACACCAAACTAAATAATACACCTACAAATGTTCTTTAAAGCTTGGCAAGAAAATCATTGTGAACGTATAAATCAAAACCTTATTCTTAATAGTAGTCTGCTACAGCCATTCTGGACTAAGGCTGTAAGAGAATTAAAGTTTGTGGGGAGACAGAAAAATTTTATTACATCAACTGGAATTGATACAATATAATTGATATTTGAACAAGCAGGTAAGCTTGTAGGCATGGAAGTTCCGATCTATGCAGTTATTTTTGAAGTCAAATACAAGTAGGAGAAAGCTGAATTAAATTTTTTGTTAAAATCAGATTATCTAAGACAGGACAGTTACATGAGTGTGTGCATGTATGTATACATCCATACACATATATATGTGTATACATACATATATATAGGTATACATATGACTACGCAGAAACACTTTCCTATATGTGAAAATCTGGAAAAGATTAAGATTCTGTATTTATAAAGATAGGATATGATTACCTATTGGATTAAACTCATGCATCCTCATGCCTGGAGGTAATTTCTTCTCCCCAATGTGAATATTCTCTATCTTCTGATCAGTTGTATTTGTTATTGTCACTTGCACAGATACCATACGATCACCGAAAATGCCCGGCTGTCTTGAGAAGTGATAATGAGCTGCTAATCCTTTTCCACTCATTCGATGAAGCAGTTCATGTGTTTTTGTTGGCACAGAGACTTGGGTAGTGACCTGTTAAGTACAAAACAACAGTTGGTGAATGGTGTAAGCAAAGAACAGACAAAATGACAATTAAATATTGCACTTTTCACTCAGCTAGAGTGCCTGCTTTGTAGTCAGAATTTCAGTGAACTAGAAACATAAATGCGTAAACAAATTGCAGTAATAGACATCAGATAGCAGAGCCTAAAAATAACGTTTCTGGTGCTGAGAAATAGCAGCTTTAACTTTGTTGTATTTGCCTCACTTTCCATTATAAATCTGTGTTCAATATTTTAACTCTACAGTTATCCATTAAATTATTGGAGGTTTTTTTTAAGAGTTACAGTTCAAATAATTATGTTGTTTCCAACAAGAAGTCTCTCTCTGTTCTTTGCATCAGAACTCAAGGGTGATCCCAAGCCCACTGCGTACTGTGAAAGTATAGTGAGAAATTGTCTTCTTCTCCTGTTAAAACCACAAAAAATGTTGCCTAACAATTACACCAGTCGAATACTAAAACCACAGTTGTATAGAGCAGATGAATGTTCCCACTTTTTTAATAGTCTCGCTGCCACAAGCAATAAGAGAAATCCCAAGGATGTTTGGGTCCATTCTATCCTGAAGAAGTAGCATGAATAAAAGACATTCAGTGCACAAACAAATTCCCAGAAGTTACTGCTGATAAGGAAATCCGTAATCATGAGCTCAAAAGTGCAGAAGTAAGGAATATGCAGAAAAATGCAGAAAAGTGAATTTGAATTCTTTAAACAAGTTTTAAGGAAAGGCTAGGCAATTACACGAAAAGTAACACCACACAAACGGAATACGGAGGTTGGAAAAGCCAAACGCTCAGCACAAAAATCCCATTTGTCTGGTCAATGCACTATGAGCACTATGAACTTTATACTATATCTGATAGATATATCTGTTTATCTGTTTCCACTGATGAGTGTCCGCCTTCTCTTGCCCTACCCACAGCCCTGAATGTGTAACTAAGTGAAAGAGACAACTGCAAATAGAAGGATGTATAGGACTCCAAGCAGCTAAGCAAGGAGAACGGGCTTTTATCTTGCCTTCCGTACAAAACACTTACAGGTTGCTACACTTTCCTGACCACCACATTTAACATCGAGGGGCTGATCTGAAGACTTAGTGATCACTTCCAGTAATAAAAGAAGCTGGTAAGAGCTGGGATTTAAACCCACAAGGTGTTACAGCAATGGGAGAGTATCTGGAAAACATAAGGCTGTAAAGAATCCAGTCGAAAAACTTTAGAAGTTAGCGAGCACATAACAAACTTAATCTTCATCTCTGAGCACCAGTTTCTGAGCTGGAAAACCAGGCTAGTAATATCCATCATCTCAAATGAGTATCTGTAAAGATCAGCTAATAAATGTTTAGAAGTGTAAGCATTACATTGATGAAACCTGAAGAAAACTACATGAGGAACTGAGTGAGTTTGTATTCAGAGGTGGCTTTGGAAGGTGCATTAAATTTCACAATATCATACTGAATGAAGAACAAATAATGAAGGAAAAAGGGAAGAAAGGGTTCACATCCCCTCAAAACTCAACCACTATGTGACCGTAATTAAAATAACACATACAGGACATGATCGATCAAACACCTCTGCAAAAATTTCCACATCAGATTTCACTTTCAACTTCTTACCTCGTTTTTCTTTCTCTAATACACACAACCTCTGGTATCAGACGTTTTAGAAACAAATTAGTAATTTACTAGTAACCTTCAGTATGAAGACTACAGGCAGTTTCAGAATATGTCTGAACTGAGGAAACTCCACAACCCCAACTTTGAATCTGTACAATATATTGATACTTTTAAAGTAAATTGGTGAGGTTCATACCTTTTCTTCCCCCTAAAAAGACAATGTAAAGTTCTCAGGGACAACATTTTTAGTTGTCCAATATGATCAGAAGAAAATACAGCTGTTTACAATAGAACACATAGCCAAATATTTAAACTTCTGTCCCTCGTCAAATAATAGTAGCAATGCCACTTGAAGAATACAGTCACCATATTTTTAAATGGAGTCAATTCTTTTGGTCCAATTACTGATCTCTGACAAGCATGAAAACATCTAATACTTCTGTCCAAGAACACAATTCAGTGAAATTTTACAAAACCCATACTGACCAGGTATCTTTTTACTCCAGTGCCATTTTACATGCATAAATATATGATAAAATTAGGGTTACTTCTATGTAGCTTATCTTTAAATTATATTTATAAAATAGTGACTCCTGTGACAAGATTTCTGACTAATGCAAAATGAATGGGAAAAGGACGAATTGCATGGACCTTCACAGTTCAAAATTCAAAACATCTTTGAGTACTAAACCCAAATTTTAATAGATTAATACTCTGCTTAGTTTTCTAGAAATAATTAATCGACAAGGTAGAACTTCAAAAACCAACTCAGTTGTCAGGAAATAAGAAAGGTACTTTGAATAATAAATATCTTATTGGTCCATAAAGACAATAGCAGTAATAAGTTATTAACAGAGTCATACTAGCACCTGTTACTTAAACTACTGATGAAATAATGATTAGAACTTAAGCTTTAAGATATATTTTAAATCTTATTTTTAAGTTTAAGCTAAGTCTTTAACTTTTAACACAATTCAATTTGAACAGGACATGCATAACAGAAAAGTTATTTCATTAAATGGTTCACCCATTTTTCATTAACAAGGTTAGGAAATACGTTTTATTCATGCTAAAACAAGTATTTTGAAGTATACTAGCTTCTCTGTGTTAACATACAGCTGGTTTTATTAATACTATTTATTAAAAGGAACGAAAACATAGAAAGTTAGTAGTCAGAAGTCCAAAACGTAGATACATATGCAAAAAATACAGCAAAAAATCCCTCAACTATGCTTAAACTGTAACACTGACTCAAATGTTACTGAAACCTTCCCGTCCTGTGATTTTTAGAGATTTTAATCTATGCACCTTTCAGCATTGCTTCTCATGTTTCAGTCATAATTTCACTCGTGAGCCCATTCACTTTTATTTTCAATATACTATATAGAGCAACACACACGCAAAGGACAGGCAGAATAATGACGTTATGTTTTAACCATCTTCCTTCTCATAGAACATTAATTTTCAGTTGCATTTAATGTGGCAGTACTAGAAATAAATAAAATGTATATATGCTGAACAAAGGAATTTAGTTGTGGAAGATGAGAATTCTCAGGCCCTCTACTTGTTCGCAAGGGTTTTGAGCTGCCAAAGGTTGGTGTGACTGTAATGCAGTCTATTTAACAGTTGCATCAGTTTGGTAAACAGAGGGTTTTTTTTGTTTTAATTCTAAAATTTTTAATGCATACAATTGCAATACTTAAAGAATCACATAGGGCAGATACCTGCAATCACTATGGGGTTAAAATAATCTTCCAAAGAGTTAACAGAACAGGAAGCATCTAGTAACCAGCAGATAATCCCCTACAAATCTTACACAGCATATGTTTAAATAATAGAAGTCGTTTGTGTACCTTTGGATGGTTTATGAAAATAACCAATCAATTCTGCAGACACAACATTATTTCTAAAGGAAATCTATGTGACTCATGATGCCTGCAGATACACAGAGACAAACCACACATATTTTATCAGTTTATTACAGTAAGCAAATAAGCGTGGAATGAGAGTGCACATAACTGTCTACTTAACGCTTACTGAAACATTTATAAGAGCTGTTATCTCCCTAATAACAGACAGACAGTGTGCAATTTTAGAGAGGAGAAAAGCTTCATATTTTTTAACACTTCACTAAAAAGTAACTGAAGAGTGTAAAATGAAAAATACTCTGTGCAGTTAGCTGGTAATGGACCATATTATCAACTCAAGTTAGATTTATAGGATACAAACTAGTCACTAATAGTTATTTTATGACATAGCGTGTCTGCTTTTTTTGGGTGAAGATTATTAAGATTAAACTTGCAAAACTTTTTTTTTTTATACAGCTGTTGAAAATGAAAGAAATAAAAAAATTAAAATATAGACTGTCCTCCCACCACATTTTGACTGAAAGCCACCACGAATTAAAAGTCAGTGTAGGGACCCCAGAGTGGTATCATATAGGAACACTATATCGGTATGAGTCAAACTGGCCCCCCATGCTAACTGCACATGTTGAAAGATAATCCATCACCCTAAAAGAAGCTGCAAATATTTTTATACTACTTCTTATATAAGAACAAGAAGGGCAACATTAAGATTTTGCCTTAAAAGTCCCCCATTCATTAACCACATAAAGGGAAAAGTGCAAGATCACTGACAGGAGTTTTGGCTTGCTTTATCACAACAGAGCAGACTAGTTACAAACCCCTGAATCCCCTGCACACGACCATGCTTCTTTTTGCCAGCGCAATAAGTCCTTAAGCTTAAGTTAACACAAAAAACTGTTTTCCGTGATTATTTAAAACAAAAGGCACTACAGGGTTTATCAAACCTACTAAAGAAAACAGAGCTGGACAGACATTCCTTTATGAAGTATAATTATTATGATTTTTGAGCACAAAATTATGTCTGTTGTCTTTTTTCTTTTGTATTTGTTCCTTAGCTTAATAATGCTGTAATAATAAACAGAGATAAACTTTTGATCCTTATTCAGAAACGTATGTATGTTTGGACAAAACATACATTATTGGAAAAAAATATTTGCTTCCAAGAATGACGATAATTACAGTTCTATTCCTCTAAATTACATTCTGTTAAAGCGGTGGACTGAATCATTTAATCTAAGTAGCCTTTCTACTGCCCTCCTATTGGCAATATCCATGACATAATCCAAGAATGACCTACTGAGCTGTGAGAGCTATATCCTCTCTTACACTCAATGTAAGGCTATGCTCCAGTAACTCCGCAACAGCTAAGAGAAGGGCTATCGCGTAGCCCAGCCACATTTACATGATCTTTCAACTGAAGCTGTGAGAGCAACTTAACTACAATTTTATAGTATTACGAGAAAGATGGAAAACCAGGCAAACAAAGGAAAG